TTCTGGCGTGATGTTCAGGAATCGTTCTCCTGTGCCAATATGTTCAAGGGTAATTCCCACTTCCTCTTCTAGAATATTCAGTGTGGCTGGATTTATGGAGAGATCTTTGATCCATTTGCACTTAAGTTTCGTGCATGGTGACAGGTATGGATCTATCTGCAATCTTCTGCATGTCCGAATCCAATTGTGCCAGCACCATTTGTATAGTTAAACAAAAATTTCGCAACAATCCCCTGAAGGCTTCATTCTGTGCTCTGAATTAAAAACACAAAACAAAATTTGAGGCTAGAATCCTCATTGTTGGAAGCATAGCACTAAGGTCCTTGTGCCCACAGTTTTCCAGAGAAACTAGGAATGTTAACCATTGGAAAGATGAAAAACCCGTTCTTCCATCCAGAAATCTGAGACTTGGAAATTGTTGGCTTCCTGATGATCTGCATTATCTGTTGGGCCATGCCTTAGCAATCTCTTACAACCAAGGCCAGAGGTGGCTAGTAATCTAAATGCCAGTGATAGCCAGAGGCTCCCCAAGCTCCCATAACCAGGACCAGAGGTGGCTAATAGTCCAAATGACCTCTGTGCTACCTGCATGACAGTTACCAGGCCAGATCCTTAGGCTCTTAAACTAGTGCAGGTTGTGTATCTCTAGATCCTGTCTTCCTGGGGGAAATGACATGTATAACATGAATAATAAAAACCCAGAGACAAATATTGGGGTTCAAGCTGAAGATAAGAAAAGCAAAGCCATCAAGCTCTTATCTCTACCTCAGACCAAAATGGGTGACCTGTCTCCACAAACCTTCAGAGACAAATGCTTCCCTGCCTGGAAACTAAATCTCACATGAGACCCTTTGCTTCTTCCTTTTATGCCTCTCTAGTGCTGGGATTAAAGGTGTGTGAGTGCTGTTACTCTCATGTAGCCCTGGGTAGCGTTGAACTCACAGAGATCCACCTGCCTGTCTCCTAAGTTCTAGGATTAAAGGTGTGTATCAGCATTGCCTGGCTCTGTGGCTGTGGCTAGCTTTGCCTTTCGATCTCCAGTGGACTTATTAGATCATAAATAATTTATCACCACAGACATGTACCCTGAAGTTCAGTGTAACTTCACTTCCTTGTGCAATGGGGATTTATTACACCAGAAAACTTATTCCTAAGTATGCTAGGCTTAAATTCATTGAGAATAAACCATTTGTTATTAGACTCCCGAAAGTCTGATCCAGGTTGACGGAATCAATATGCACTTTTCATTTTTATCTCTTCATG